GGGCCATCTCGACCGCTGTCTGCGATCCGCCTGTGACTCGGATAGCCCTGGCCAGCGAGTCGTTGGACGGGTGGGTGCCCCGTGTTCGCGTGGAGCTGCATCACTGCGGATCGGAGTGTTCGCTCTTCCGCGGCTGTCAGCGCGGGCTCCTGAGGAGCCGCCTCCGCTGAAACCGTCCTCCTCGCCCTGGGGTTGGGCGTGCTTCTCGTGGAAGTCGATTTGGTCGTCGCAGCTGGTCGGCCAACATGTTCATGAGCTTTTTCAAGAGCATGTGCGTATAATTATCGCTGTTCTTGGCGTCCTGACCACGCGCCTCATCGTGGGGGTGCGACTTGTCGCAGAACCTCCTCAGCGTGACGTCGAACCCGCAGCGGTCGGTTAAGATCCTCCAAGGTTTTTTTGATGTGGATCCTTTTCTTCGTCTTAAGGTCTAGCACGCAACCGTCGAAGTCTACGGCCCGCGGCAGAGTTGCTCCTCCAACATCCTCCCGGTCGCATTCTTGTTGAGGCCCCATCCGTCGCAGTATCTCGGCCACTCGAATGAGACGGCAAGCTGGCTGCCAAACTCCTTGCGTAGCCGGGACATCGACTGCAGGATCAGGCCGATAATTTGTTCGGACTTGGCTCTGTCCTTGGGATTTTCCCATGGTCGATTTTGATAACAAGACGCTGTAAGGAAGCCCATGGTTGGCACGAAAACGCTGCGTTGACTTGGGCGCTTTTGCTACGAGCGAGGGCCGTCCTGATCTTGCTCTCGAGTTTGTTGACTACGAAACGTCGCGACAGGTCGTATGCAGGTCGCCCACACCTGACGGCTGCTCCTCCGTTCATCGTCCAGATGGCGTTGAGTTTGTTGTTCGGGTTGCAGCACCACACGTAGAGCCTTGTGTCGCTCGTGGTGTTGATCGCCTTGGAACTCGTAGTTGACCTGGCCTTGTCAGTGACCAGGGCCTAGTTGACCTGGCGCGGCCGAGTGCCGCTTTTGTTGACAACGAAAGCCGTGCGCTTCCCTGCAATTAGCAGTGGCTTCGTCCCCTTCTTCAGGTTCCTCACCTTGAGCTGCTCCTCATCCACGATGTTGGCCCCCTTTAGGTTGGTATCCTTGGCGTAGTCGTCCAGGGTCACGGAGGTGCCAAACACGCGCTCCGGGCAGAAGCCCATGTGGCTGCAGGTATTATGGGATTTCTCTCCGCAAGAAAATGCAGCCCTGTGACGAATCGGTGTAACATTCGTCGTGGGGTGGACCGGCGGCGGCTGCGTCGTCATAGTGGGGTTTGGGTTAGTTGTTGCCGCAGAGCAGCACGCTGATGCTGACGCCACAGCCGATATAAGTTTGGATACTTAGTCGGCGAGGCTGTGGGCGACTCGACACGTTTAGCTCCTTCTTGTTTATGAGCTTGCTGATAGACTCGGTCAGCGACTCGGTCCTGATGGCATGGGGTATTGTTGATGGTCGGGGCGCTATCCGCCTTGGCCCTCCCAGTCGGTCTAGTAGGGGACTCGGCGCCAGCGTCCTTGATCGCGCGCCAGCCCTCAGGCTGCAGACGAATCGCGGGGTGACCCGCGCTGCTCGTGACGAGATTGTGGGTCACATTTCCGATGCGAATCTGCACATTCCAGAGAGACACGTCGATCTTGGAGGGATGGATAAAATCTCGTCCGATGGGGAGAGCCAGCATGAGACTGTTCATGACACTGAACACGATGCGGCCAGCCTGGCCGCAGAGCACAAGCGGCGCGGTCACGCGCATTTTGATAGGGTGAGTACCCCCGTTGCTGAACCTAGTATCGAGGATCTGGTCGACTTGGCCCAACTTAGTAAGCAAGTCCTTGTAGTTGTCGTACAATTTGCTACCCAAGACGCAGAATTGGCAGGCAGTGTCCACTACACCGAGCCCTTCGTCCACGGGCTTCTCCTCGCTGGCCGATGCGTTGACGCCCGGCAGATGATGCATCAGCCGCTCGGAGACGCAGGCCTCCGAAGGAGGCGTCACGGGCCCCTGCAGGTGTAGAGGCGCCTCTTCGTCCACGAGTTGGACCTGCTCGGTGATGTGCGCCTGTCGCTGGGGTTTGCCACCTCGGCCTCCATCGCGACCGCCCCCCTCTGCTTGTCCTTGGGCGCAAACTTGCGCTCGCCGGGCGCGGGGCACTCCCCGTCTCTAGTCCAGTGCCCCGTCTCGCCGCAATCCCAGCACATGGATGTCTTCTTGCGCTGGTCGACGCGGCTCTGGTGCCTGCCGGGGCGCCGCGGCCCTTGAGGGTTTCTCGGGCCGATTTGGTGGTGGCCATGGCCTCGGGAATCGCGGCGAGCTCCGCTGCGGCGGCTCGGGCCTTGGCGGAGTCGCCGCCGTCGAACACCCCGGAGATTTCGACGCTGGAGGACTCGATCTCGGCACTGAACACCTCGAGCTCCTGGCGAGCCATGTCTTGCACGTCGACCTTGGTCTCGCCCTCGTCCCCATAGTCCTGCTCTTCGTCGGCCTCCTCCGGCTCGTCGACGACATTGGTCGAGCCCCCTTCTCGATGCCAGGAGGAGGACTTCCAGCTGCCAGCAGGACGCGACTGATTGCTACACGGCCGCGGCGGTTGCGGCGCGCGGTGCTCTGAGCTGTGGATGTCCGGGATCATCCTCACCTGCAGGCTTCGGATGCGCTGGAATCCGTAGTGTTCATCAGTCAGGTTGCACTCCACGCGCTCGCGTCACTCTGCCGTGAGGCCCGCCATGCGTGGAAGAAACCGGCGATGGTGTTGAGCCGACTCGAACAATTTCTCGAGAGTCTCGCCTTTCTGATTTGGCTTCTGCTGACTTAGGTTCGCCTCCAGGTGTTTGAGTACATTCTCGATGTCAACCTGGTTGCGGTTGCGCTTCTGCTTGCCCGCGTCGTCAATGCAGTCCGCAGCTGGCGGGCGCAGTTCTTCCTTCGCCATGTTGAGCGCAGCTGCCCTCGCCGCCCCCGTCAGCTTGAGCGCGAGCTTCGATGCGAGGCCCTGGGTGACCTCTAAGTTCTCGCCGAGCTTCCAAAGCTCCACCTCCTGCTTGTAGTCCCTCCACTTGGCGGGGTCGCCGCCCCACGTGGGAACGATCGATTGGCCGCAGTTCTTGCGTTGATCCGTCATTGTGTTTGCGTACTTGGCGTTCTGGTCGGTTGTGGAATTGCACGCGTGGGGCCCGCTGAAGTTCTGAAAGAGCGTGAAATAGAACGAGAGGGCTTCGCTGAAGTCCTGGGGGAACGCGAAATGGGGCGAGAGGGCTTCGCTGAAGTTCTGAGAGAACGCGTCGGGTAGGGCGTCGCTGACTTCCGGGAGGTAGTCAATGAGGGCGTTCGGCTGGGCGTCGCTGACGTCCGGGACGAAGTCAATGAGGGCGTTAGGCTGGGCGTCACTGACGTCCGGGAGGAAGGTGATGAGGGCGTTAGGCTGGGCGTCGCCGACGTCCAGGAAGAAGGCAATGAGGGCGATAATGATTGCTATGGGCAGCAGGAGGACGCCGCTGCGCGTCGATTCTCTGGACGAGGGCGCGGCCGTCGTCTTGGATATGGAGTGTGTCGTGCTCGGCGGCGCGACAGGCAGCAGCGGCGCGATGTTGCCGGGGCTCGCGCGCTCCGCTACCATTGTGATATGGGATGGTGCGCGGCACCGATGGCTTTTTGTCGAAAGCGAGCGCGGCTCGAGCGATCTGCGTAGCTCAATGACCAAGGGCCCTAAAATTATGAGGGCCGAGACAGGCAGCGGGATACAGGGTGAGAGCAGCAATGCAGAGAGGCAGAGAGAGGAGAGAGAGAGAGAGAGAGAGAGAGAGAGAGAGAGAGAGAGAGAGAGAGAGAGAGAGAGAGAGAGCGGGGACCGCGGCGGAAGCTCGGCGGAAGGGCGATCGACATGGCATCGAATCGACCGAAACCACAGCCTGCAGACAGTATAACTTGATAGCCGAGGACTTTGAAAATCTTTGCCTTCGCTCGGCGAGTCTCTTGCACGGACAAGATGTCAATGCCATATTAGCCCATATGTACATGGATCTCTTCTGCGAAGCATCGAACATTCCAAGTTGCCACCATGAGTGGTGTCGAAGCCGGGCTGATTCGCGCCGGAGCCGGCTGGGAATGCCTAACAGGTGGGAAGGTCGGCGTCGATCGAGGGGGAAGTGAGAAGGAGAAAGCCTTCTCGCAAGGCGACGGGACTTCTCAGAAGCCTTTGTGCCTTCTGAGAAGTTTTCTGTGTCCTCGGGGAAGGCATGAGACATGTGTCCGAAGGCGTGGGGGCTGCGGAGCCTTATGAGAAGGCCTTCTCCTTCTCACTTCCCCCCTCTCTCGCCGCCAAGGCGGGGGGGGGTGCAGGGCTGGTCGCGAGCAATATCGCGCATCATATATATATATATATTAAAAAAAAATGGGCTCCTGGACGCGGGGCCCGAGTCTCTCCGCGCCGACGACGATGCGTCGCCGACGTCGCCGATGGCATGGCTTCACGAACAGAGCAGGCGGCAGGCGCGGTCGCCGATGGCGCGATTCGGCGCGCAGTCAGCCCTGGGAGGTCTGTCGCGTTGCCGCTGGCGCATGCAGGCAGAGAGCGCGCGCAGGCAGCAGGGAGAAGCTCGGATGAGGAAAAGGTGCCGATACCTTTCTTGGGAAGAGCTCGGCGAGGGAAAGATACACATTGTTCATGTCTAATTCTTCGAGAGTTCCTTGATTTTTTGGGGGCCAGGACCCTTTCATTTTTAATTGTTTTATCCTGGGCCTCTTCCTGGCCACTGGGGGGCCAGGGACAATTAGAAACGAGCGCGATTAGAAATGAGCACGATTAGCCGTAGCAATTTTGGCTCAAGGCTATGAACCGCCCGACGACCGCGAGTCGGCATCGGTCGGCGACTTCTGAGCGCGAGGGGGTTCGCGCTTTGAGGCCAAAGCAAATGCTCACTGGAGTTTTGAGCGCATGGGGGCCGATGGGAAACCTGGCGCGTCGTGGGCGCGTGCGTGCGGCACAACCGACAACCGCCCGTGGAGGACCTGGTGCCGTGGCTGTGGCAAGGCGGCCCCCAGGGCGTCATCGGTGGTCACGTGCCAGTGGCAGCAGAACAAGCGCAAGAGGGTGCCGAAGCAGCAGGGCCAACGGCAGCCACAACGGTGGACGCAGCCGAGGGCCCAGGGCTGGTGGGCGCAGCCAGTGGAGTGGCCAGCGCTGGCGACAGCCCCGAGGCCAAGGGCAGCCGTCCAGGCGCCGGCAGCGAGAAGCTCCACAAGGAAGGCGTGGTGGACCAGGAGGTGCTGGCAGCCGTGCTGGGCGCCAAAGTCAAGGCGGCCCAGGCAGCTGAGGCGGCCAAGCCTGACAAGGGATTGGATGACCAGCTGCGCGTGGTGCAGAGCAAGATCACGCACAAGGAGCGCACGGTGGCCAGGGCAGCCGAGCATGTTGAGGCGACGCGCAAGGTGCTGGCCGACGCCCAGGCCAGCTTCAAGGCTGCAGAGCAGGCGGCGCAGGAGCGTGCCGACGAGCTGCGCGCCCTCACCAAGAAGCGCGTGGTGCTTCTGCAGCAGATGTCGGCCAAGGCGTCGGATATCACCGACAGGGCGAGGGAGGACCCTGAGTTCATGCAGGCGTACAACGAGCTCAAGGACGCCCAGAGGAAGGCCCATGGGAGCGAGCGGGCCCTGCGGGAGAAGTACAAGGACCACTTCGCCAGCGCCCCAGTGCCGGGGGGCCCACCAGCGGAGCCCGAGGCCACGGACCCGATGGACTTCGATGCAGCAGCGCAGGAACAGTTCTTCGAGGACTGGTGCAAGGGCATCGGCATCGACAAGGACGTCATCGCACAGAACATGGGCGACAACCTTTCTGTGGCTGATCGCGTGCGTAAGCTCTGCGAGTGCGCACCCGTTGGGGCAGCCAAGCGCCCGCGGCGCGCTTGACAGCGCAGGCCAGCCGTGGGCCGACGAGGAGAGCGAGGGCCATGAGAGCCCACGCGAGGCGCCACCCGAGGGCCAGCCTGCAGAACAGGGCAGGCGCAAACGAGGGCGAGGCAAGCTCTCGAAGGGGATAGAGATCTACACCGCCAACTGCAACTCGTGGGCCAAGGGCGTCGCGTTCGTTGACGAGTACATCACCAAGCCGAGCTGCATCCTGGGCCAGGAGCACAGGCTGGGCGATAATTGGAAAGATGAGGTGCTGGCAGCGACCTGCAAGCGAGCATGGGCGATTGCGATGACGCCCACTGCGACGGGAGCTCGTGGGGGCCGCAGTGCTGGGACCTACATCATGGTGCCCAAGTCCATCGGCCTCACCTACGCGTACGACCAACAGGAGTGGGACTGCTCATCCACAGGCATGCGAGGGCGCAAATGTGCGGCCCGATGCCCGCTGTGGGGCACAGGAGGCGCGCTGCTGGTCTCGGCATATATGTGGGCAGGCGAAGGGCTGTCAGAACGCAACCTGCAGGTCCTGGACCGCATCGGCGAGCTCACAGAGATGCATGCTGCCCCTTGGATTCTTGGCATGGACGCGCAGTTGGAACCCCACACCTTGCACGAGTCGGGCTTGCTCCAAGACGTGGGAGGAGTGCTCCACACCTCTGGCAAGGTTACGTGCGACAGCATCGGAGGAGGACGCGAGATCGACTACTTTGTGGTCGCCAAGGGCCTCAGCCCTGCCCTCAGCCAGGCAGAGAGGGTGGAGGGCTGTGAGGCTTCCCCGCGCTGGCCAGTGCGGATGCTGCCTGAAGCAGCCCAGGGAGGCCAGGATGCTGCGCTTCATCAAGCCGCGTGCCTTCCCTATGGCGCTGCCAGTCGGGCGTGCGCCGCAGCCGCAGCAGTGGCCGTTGTGGCCGACCAACCACACGGGCAGGCTCGACCAGGAGGAGCTGGACAACTACTGGCGCCAGGTCTCGCGCACGGCAGAGGAGGAGCTCCTGGGCATCTACCAGATCCCAGAGGAGGAGCGCCCACGGTACCGCGGCCGAGGCGATGCGCCGAAGACGGTGTTCACGCCGCTCCTGGGCCCCAAGGCGAGGGATGGCGTCGGGCAGACGGTGGAAGCCACGGCCTGGCGCTGGGCGGCCAACCAGATCGGCAGCCACATACTGGTGGCTCAAGCAGCCAGGGCGAAGCGCCCAGACCCAGCTCGGGTGGCATGGCTACGCGAGTGCCTCGGTAAGGCGTTGCACCGAGGGCGACACCGCTTGCGGCAGCTCGGGGCCACGGGACAGTGGCTGGACCACCTCCTCTTCGACATCGAGCACTGGCGGCTGCACGAGGATGGCGCTGAGGAGCGGCTCACCGCAGTCATGGAGATACGGCGGTGGCTCCTTAAGCCGGCCAACAAGATAGTGAGCACGGTGGCTCAGGAGAGGGCCAAAGCGTGGATGGGGTCGCCTCAAGGATGGCAGCAAGGGTGCAGCAGGTTTCTAGCACCGCATGGCTCGCTGGCGCCATGCCGAGCGACCCCCCGCGCCCATCGCGAACTACAAGAAGGGCGAGGTGGAGTTGTTCGACGGGCAGACGCTGGTAGATGGGCATGCCCACCAGTGGTACCAGCTCTGGGCCTCGCACGGGGCCGGCAGCCGAGGAGGGCACGACCGAGTTTGGGAAGGACGAGTCTACCCCGCACCACTCGTCAGAGTTTTGGCCGATCGGTTCAGGGAGGCAGCCAGGTTGTTCAAGACAAGCACTGGCATAGGCCCTGACTGGTGGCACCCGAGATGGTGGACGTCCTCGCCGAGTACATACTCCACCACGTCCATTGGCCTACCCAGGTCGAGCTGCTGGCCTACTTCCTGGTGCCGAAGCCGCACGAGGATGGGCGCCGCCCGCTGGCCCTCTTGTGCTCCCTGGTTAGAGTTGTTGAAACGTTGATGTCAGATGAGTGTCGCAAATGGGAAGAGATAGTCGCACGGCCCTATGACTGGGCTGGCAGAGGTAAAGGTGCTGAGGACGCGATGTGGGACCTCATGCTCAGGGACGAGAGCTGCCCAGAGGACCACATCAACGCGGCTGCGGTGAAGGACCTATCCAAGGCGTTCGAGCACGTCACCATGAGGCGCCTGTGGGAGCACGGGCGCAAGCTGGGGATGCCAGAGCAGGTGCTCCACTTCATGATCTCGGTCTTCACTATGGAGAGGGTCGTCACGCTGGATGGTATGGTGGCCTCTACACGGATGCGTACGTGGTCGGCAGCGGCTGCAGGCAGCCGTGGTGGTACACGGGCGCTCAAGTGTTTCACCATCATCTTGCTGGACATGGTCATCGCCAGGCCGTGCCTGCAGGGGGGCCAAGAGGTACGTCAAGCTCTACTTCGACGACACCACGATCCACCTCTAGGGCGAGCGGGAGGCGGTGGTGCACGAGGCGAAGGAGTCTGCGATGGCATACATACAGGCAGCTGAGGCAGAAGGCCTCCCTCTGTCGCTCACCGCGCACAAGAACGGCGTCACCAAGAAGGGCAAGAGCTATGTCTACACGGCAGACAAGCAGGCCAAGGCCAAGTTCAAGCTCTGGGCGAAGGACAGGGGCCTGGAGATCCAAGAAGAGGGCGTGCAGCTGGGCGTGGACTTCACGGGCGGTGTTGGTGCGCAGCGGCGGCCCAAGCAGCAAGAGCGCGTAGAGGTCATGGTCAAGAGGGGTACCAAGCTTAACATCCTTAAGAAGCAGGGCGCCAGCTTAGGCACGGCCAAGGTAGCCAAGCTTGGCTTCTTGCCGCCCATGCGCTACGGGGTGGCCTGCATCGGAGCGCCGCCGAAGCTCATCGAGAGGGCTCGCATCAACATGTCGATGGCGCTGAGCGGCGAGGCCATGGGCAACTATCGCACCTTGCGCCTGTGGCTCGAGGAGGCCGACCCAGCGGTGAGCCTCACCATTCGACCAGTGGTGAAGTGGGCTGAGGTGGTATGGAGCCGGGCCATGGACGAGGAGGCTATGGTCGCGGCATGAAGGAAGGCGTCAGCGCGGCTGGCCACGGCAGGCACGGTGGCATGGTCGGCAGTCAGAGGACCTGCAGAGGCAGTCTTGAGGACCCTGCGCGACCTCGGCTGGTCATGGCCTGCGCCGTGGACGCTGCTCACACCAGCGGGCGTCCAGGTGCCATTGCACACGGTGGCGCCTAAGACGGTCAGGTACAAGCTGGGGAGGGCCATCGAGCGGCAGGTCCTCACGAAGTGGGCCACAGAGAAGGGCATCGCCGAGGAGGTCCCGATGCCGTTCTTGGAGCCGGTGAGGGCGCTGCTCAAGAAGCGCAGGTGGGTTGCGCATCAAGGCGCCATCAAGGCCTACGTGGGGCAGGACTACTGCACGCAGGCCGAGCTCCAGCAGCGCGGCACGGCAGCCGACGGCATGTGCCAGCAGCGCAGGCGCGCGCTGGGCACTCAGAGGCACCGCTTCGGGCGCTGCGAGGCCCACGAGGAGAGCAGGGCCAAGCTCGCCGACAAGCATGCGGGCATTGTGCAGCGCATGGCGGGCTCAGGCGAGAGCTTGCTGCTCAACTGCGGCCTGGTGGTGCACCCCACCTATGACGTTGAGGGCGACACCCAGATCGAGCAGTACCACTCGGCCAACGCAGAGGGCGACGACATCTGCGAGGACGACGTCATGCCGTTCATCTCGGGGGTCTGCTTCACTGACGGCTCGGGCAAAGGCGCCAACGCGCTCAAGGGCTACGGATGGGGCTACATGTGGTTCGAGGAGCCTGCTGGTGAAGGTCAGTACACGGCGCTTGGTGGAGCATACGGTAGCCTGCCAGGAGTGCGAGCTGATCTGTCGGTGGCGTGCCGAGCTCCAGGCCATCTGGCATGCCTTGCGCAGGGCGACGGCCCCCCCACGCTGGTCACCGATTACGAGATGGCGGTGAGAGGCATGAGGAGGGGCCGACAGTGGTGCATGGCGCCGCAGAGGAGCAACTGCGACATCTGGATGCGCATCTGGAACGTCGTGGACGAGACCTTCCCGAACATGGATGGCCTCACGGTGGCGCATGTGCGGTCGCATGGCAGAGGGCAGAACGCGTTCCACGTGCACGGCAACAAGATCGCCGACGAGTTGGCGGTCAAAGGAGCGCAGCTAGCCATGCCGCCGCAGTGGCAGATCGACGTCTGGCAGGACCGCTGGAAGACAGTGCAGCAGGTGCTGAACTTCGTGGCAGACATGGCAGTGGAGGTCGGCGACTTCGGGGACGTCGCGATGCCCACCAAAGAGGAGGCACGGGCGCAGCGCCGGCGAGAGGCCCAGCTGCGAGGACGGCAGCCCGAGGCTGACGAGGCGAGGCCTGCCATGACCTCGACAGGGCATGCCACGGCTACGGCAGCGGCAGCTGTGGCGTCGGCAGCGGCAGCGGCAGCGGCAGCAGGCGCATCGCCTGAGGAGGTGGCTGCCGCAGCTGAGGAGGCTGCGAGGGTGGCGACCCAGCCAGCAGCAGCTGCTGCGCCAGCCGACGACGAGATGGAGGAGGGCGACCCCATCGAGGACCCCGACGGTGGCGGTGACGTTGCAGGGCCGAGCGCGCCTGCTGGCCCTGTGGCGAGAGGACGGCCGCGGGACCCAGCGATCAGGAGGCACGACTTCGTCGCGGAGGGCCAGTGGCACAGGTGCCTGGACTGCGGTGCGCGCTCCAAGGTGCAAGGGGCCCGAGCGGCGCAGTACATGCGCCAGCGGTGCCCTGGAGTGCGGCAGCGAGTGTTCTACGAGGGGGGCTCTGGTCGGGGCGGTGGAGTAGGCGCGCATGCGCATAGGAGTCGCAGCCGTGGCCGAGGCGCCTTGACGCCCAGCTCCCAGCCGCCCGAGCCCGTAGTGCCTGCCCCTCCTGCCGCTCCTCCACCTCTTCCAGAGGGGCCAAGCTCGGGGCCAGCTGAGCTAGTGGAAGTGTGGCCAACAGGACCCTCGACCCAGCGCAGGGGCACCAGCTGTACCGCGCGGGGCCGTATACCTTTTGTGGCCGATGCGGGGTGCGGTGCTCAGGGCGAGTCTTTCGATCCTTAGGTGGCCGCTGCCGAGGTCAGACGGCCTCGAAGCAGGTCACCAGCGCGAAGGCTAAGCTGCTTGGTGGTTGGCACCCCACGCAGGCGGGCGTGCGAGTAGCCGAAGCAGCAGTGCGGCTGTCAGACTGCGAGGTCCGCGCCTTTTTCGGGGTGGCCTAGTGGCTGCCTGCCGTCACAGCTCGCGTGCAGCCGTTGCGCCGCGAAGCATTGCCACGGCAAAAAAAATGAGCACGATTAGAAATGAACGACGTGTATGCCGTGAGGGGGTGGACGGAGTGGAGTGACGGAAGTCATGGAAGAGATTTGCTGCGGCGCGGGAGCCCGATGTCCACGACGCCAGACCAGCGATGCGCAGACACCAGGGTTTCGCCACCCTCTCGTACTGCCACCCTTCTTCTCGTCGGGCGGGTGGTAACTGGGGGGTGGCCCACATGGGGGGGGAAAGACCCCTTCAGGGCCCTTTTTCTGCACCCCCCATTTGGGTCAACCCTCCATTAACACCCGCCCGATTTCGTTTTGTTTTGTTTTTGGTCTCCTGGAAGGCCCTCGTCGCCACTGGAAGCACGGCGCACGCACAGGAATCATACACATCAGACAATTTGCGCGCGGCCACAGCACATGCCTGATCACAACCGTCTGCCTGTAGCATCCGGCCCGCCGGTGGCGACCTCCCTTGTCCTTCTTTCTCCTCTTCTTCCTCACCCCCGACGACGAAGCAGAAGGGGAAAGAGACAGAGCCCCCCCATCCCATTTGCATCTTCATCATATCCCATTTTTCCCAAACCATCTTCGTTATCATCATCAGCATCGTCATCATCAGCAGCATCATCATGATCTGCATGGCCATCATCACCTGTATCATCAGCGTCATCACCATCATCATCATTCAGCGTCATCATTATCATCAGCACCGTTATCAGTATCACCATCATCCGTATCATCATCACCATCATCATCATTATCATCATCATTGGTCCCATCGTCGTCAGCATCATCATCACCATCATCATCATCATCGTCGTCATAACCATCATCGTAATAATCAGCATCATCAGCATCATCAGCATCAACATCAGCATCAGCATCAACATTCCTTACCTCGTCGTTTCGTACCTCCTCCCATCATCCTCCCTCCTCCTCCCCCCTTCCGACCCGCCCGCCCGCCCGAACCCCAGCTGGATCCAGAGCAGCGGCAGGCGCGCATCCGGGAGCTGGTCGCGCTGCAGGTGCGGCTGCAGCAGGAGATCGCCGCCCCGCAGCAGGTAGACACAGGTAGACGCCCCCCCCCGCCTAGGAAGTACTGCCTACCCTTCTCTGCCTCGCCCTGCCCCGCGAATCCTCTTCCGCCTCCTTTTCCTCGTTGTCCTGCTCCTCCCCCTCCGCCTCCTTCTCCTCGCCCTCCGCCTCCTCCGAGGCCTCCTCCTCCTCCTCCTCCTCCTCCTCCTCCTCCTCCTAGCCCTTCTCTTCCTCCTCCTCCCCTCCTCCTCCTCCTCCTCCTCCTCCTCCTCCTCCTCCTCCTCCTCTTGGTTCTATTATTTCTTCTCCGATCTCCAGGTCGCATCTCCATATGTCGCTTCTCCAGATAGTACCAGGAAGCTGGACACGCATGGCGCGGCCGGCTTGGGCGAGAGCCAGATACGTAATTGTTCAGACCTCTCTCGCGTGTGCGGCCTCGTGTAAGCCGGGCTTTTCCGCATGCGCATCCAGCGCGCGGCCTCCGGATATTCGCCACGTGAACCCAGCTGTGTGTGTCTGTAGCTTCCTTGTACTAGACGCTCTCCTGGCAAGAAGGCTTATGCATCGACCCTGGGCGCAGGCTTGCCCTCGGCTATTTCGGCGTCGGTGTGCAGCCGACCCCCTCCCACCAACCCTCTTCCGCACACGGGATGGTCGGCATGGTGACAAACGGCAAGGTTTGGGACAATTGTTGTGATCTGTTGAGTTTGTTTCTTCGGCGTCCTTTGGCGCGTAACGCCCGCCTCTCGCCCCTACCCGCCCATGTCATTATGATGACCCGCCCCTCCCGTCCGAGATCCCGAGTTTGATTGATTCGCAGCTAAATGATTATTGTCTACCCGTCCTCGCACGAAAAGATTTGATGGAGAGCGATTGATGCAATTGAATCGTGTGAGTATACGTGTACGAACATGTGTAGGTGTTTCGGTCCAGGTGTTTATAGTCCGACTGTCAGGATGTGTGCAGGTGGCTTCGGTCAACGAACAAGTAAGGAACTTGTATATCAGTACGCCGCGCGCGTGATTCCCAGCAGGATGCACCAGAGCCGGCGCGCGCGCCGCGGCTCTCGCATGTCCTGCAGTGGATCTCGTCAGCGCGGGATGGGCCAGATCCGCCGTGCGTGCGGCGTCTCTCGCCTCCCCCGCGGCTCTCTCTTCTCCCCCGCGGCTCTCTCTTCCACGCAGGGTGGGCCAGGGCCGCCGCGCGCGCGGCGGCTCTCGCCCTCCTGCACCGTGCTTCTTTGCTCTCTCGGCGCAGGATGGGCCAGAACCGCCGAGCGCACCGTGGTTCTCGCCTCTACGGCAGTGTCTCTTCCAGCGCAGGATGGGCCAGAGCCGCCACGCGCGGCGGCGATCGCTTCTCCCGCTGTGCTTGCTGTGTTGCTCTGTTGAGGAGGGCCAAGAGCCGCCGCGCGTGGCGGCGGCTCTCGCCCCTCCTGGTCTTCTTTGTGAGTGTATGCTCATGGCCCGACCAAAACGCAGTGTTGCTCGTGTTGTGGTGGTTGTTTGATGTGTTGTGCTGCTGCATGTGCCATACGTGTATATATATATATATATATATATATATAGCTATGCATGTGTACGTGTACATGTATGTATGTATGTATGGATGGATGGACGGATGTGTTTGTATGTGTGTATGTATGCATGCATGTGCGGGTGCATGTCTGTTTGTTTGTAACACTGTCTGTATGTATGTGTGTGTGGTTGTATGTATGCATGCATGCATGTACGTATGTGTATGCATGTACTATTGTATGTATGTATGCATGCATGACTGTGTGTCTGCATGTATGCATGCTTGTATGCAGGTATATGTGCATGTATGTGTGCGTGTTTCATGCGTGTGCGTAGGTGTGCATGTATGCATGTATGTGTGTAGACGTGCAAGTGAGTATGCATGTATATCAATATGTATGTATGTAGGTCGGTAGGTACGTATGTGTGGACGATGCACGTATATGTGTATGTATGTTTGTATATTGTTTGTATGTGTGTGTGCAGGTGTGCATGTCTGAATGCATGTACGTATGTATGTATGCGTGTGTATGTCCGTGTATGTATGTCTATGTGTGCATACAGGTTTGTGTGTATGGATGTATGCATGCATGTATGCATGTGTATATGTACGTATGTATGTGTAGATGCATGCATGTGTTAATGTATGAATGTATGTATGTATGTATGTATGTATGTATGCATGTATGTATGTATGTGTGTATGTATGCATATATGTATATCTGCCTGTCTGCATGCATGCATGCATGTATGTGTGTACGTACGTGTGCATGTATGCATGCACGTGTGCATGTATGCATGTATGCATGTATGAATGTATGCATGCATGCATGCGTGTATGAATATACGCATACAGCTGTTTCAGTGAGTTAACCATTAAGCGTATACATTCTGCCTGGACCCCCCCTCGAACGGTCGTCACCCACCCCCTGGGCCCCGTGTCGGACAGCCCCACAGAGCGACACTCAAGTCTGGCCCCTATCTGAGTCTTATCACATGTTATGTTTTGATGTCGTAGGGGGAGGGTCTGAGGAGCGGTGGGAACGAGAGCGCTGGAGCAGTCGCGGGTGACATTCGAACAAGGGGGGGAGGAGGAATGAGAAGGAACCTCCCATGGTGCGAGCGAGAGATGAGGAGAAGGAGCAGGAGGAGGAGGAGGAGGAGCTTGAGGATGCAGGCAGATGGTTCCTGGCTGCTGGAGCCTCTTCAGGCGCCTCCGTTATCTTTCGTGGGATGCGCAGGGCGACGCATTCAGCTATTATTGGGGCTTTTGTTCTGGGCTGGGAGCCACCACTCCTCTCTCTCAGCGTCGCCCTGCCCTTCTTAATCCTTCTTCGCCTCCTTCTCATGACCGTCCTCCTCCGCCTCTTCCTCTTGCTCCTTTTCTTGTTGCTCGCCTGCTTTTGCTTTCTCCTTGTCCAAAGTACCAGGAAGCTTGAAACATACGCCTTCGGATGTGTTTTTTACAGTGATTCCAGCCATGCGAGTTTCAAGCCGCATGCCAGTTCCTTTCTCTCCCTCTTCCTATCACCTCTGTTGGGAGGCTGCCGCAGCTTCGACGGGGTGGTGCAGCGGACGGCCTGCGCTATCGGAGAGCTGCGATCGTTCAAGATTGAACGACCCAGGGATCCGTAGCCATTTTGGCTCCAGACTGGCAGGCGCAGCGCGTGCCCCTCAGGGCCGATCCGCGACGCCGAACCATCCGAACATTCTCTTCACTCGCGCGGCATGTCGCCGCAGAAGGTGCCCACCGCCCTAACGGTGCTCCTTCTCGTCGGCGGTGCCCCCAGCTTGGCCGCCATCGACGTGTCCAGCGAGAAGCCAGCGGGCCAGCAGTTGATGTCCAAGCGCATCGGAGCGTCATATTCCGCCGTGTCTGGCAGCTACTGGGGCCAGAGCGCTGGGGCCTGGGGGGGGGGTCGCCAGGGACCAGACCGTGTATTGTTTGGCGGAGTCGACGACGATGCGACATGCTGGAGATTATTATTGGCCCGCGATGGGCACCATGCGTTGCGTCACCTTGGGTTGGGGAACTCGCCCCGGTTACAAAACTGGGTCTTACAGCACTGCCGTATCGCATTACTCGGGCTATGGGCTGCGATTGTGCACTCTTTCCAAGCTGCAAGGGGGAGCAGGCGAGGGTCAAGGGTGCGGCGTCGCGACGCCCAGCCCGACGCCCTACCCGACGCCTAGCCCGACTTCCTACACGACGCCCTGCCCGACGCCTGGCCCGACGCCTTGCCCGACACTCTACCTGACGCCCAGCCCGACAGCTGCCGTTTCCGCTTCTGGCGCTTTCGGGGCCGTCGCTGCCACCGGAGATCTCCACTTGCAAAATGTGCTTGGTCAGCGTTTCGATGTGATGCAGGCTCGGAAGCACGTTCTGGTAAATATCCCTCGTGGAAGGCGCACGAATGCAATGCTCCGCGTCGATGCCGAGGTGAGCCAAGTGGATAGACATTGTACAGACATGTATTTCCAAGAGATCAATGTCACAGGAGCGTCGGTGAAAAAGGAAAACCCGGGCGGCCTTAGTTTCCAAGCTCAGAGCGTGCGCGGCGACGAGCCGAAGGGGGGCCAAGAGAGAAGACCCCGAGGCGCCCACAACGTGAATTGGCAAAATAAGGCGACGAGGGACCCGGGACACCCCAGAGACCCCAGCCGCAGGGCAGGACCCGAGCGAACACCCCCCCCCAAGAGGGGAGGCGCAGGGGGGGCGGAAGGGAGAAGCGGGGGCGGGAGCGCCCGAGGCCGTATGGGGTGGAGCGCAGGCCCAGGTCGCCCCCGCAGCCTACCAGGACCCCCGCATACAGGGCCACCAGCATGCCGAGCCGAGCCCAGCCGCCCAGTCAACGGACCAACTCCAGCCCACAGTTTTTGATCTGCGGGGCGAGAGCGAACCTCTTCCGCTAAAAGTTGGGCGGGCTACGCACAGCTTTAATTAGGGAGACAGGGCGCAGGAAGGCGGGGCCTCAGGCGGCTGGAGCTGGCGGCAGCTCCAGCCTACAGCCAAGACGTTGAAATAAGGAGCAGTTTGGGTTCGGAAGGGGCTCTATGTTCCCCAGGTTCCTCCGGTGCTGTCCCTCTTGCCCTCCTGTGGCACGGAGGCGCTTGAAGTCCAAGCAGGAGCTTCGTTTTTTGTTTAGCGTTCCTGCTTTCAGGGGCCCGACTGTAGCTCCCACAGGGTATGCTGTCAGGCTCAGGAGATCTTCAAGCGACCCACGCCTGCGACGTGGACGCAGTTGGTGGAGCCGAGGGCCTTAACCTGTTTGGCGGACTTCGGAAGCATCGCAACCAACACCTCTGTGAACAGGATCGGTTTCTCGTCGAAGAAGGGATCATCGGGCCTATGCAACGCGCAGCACCAGGACTCCGCAGCGAAGCCCTCTGCCCAGGAAGCCACATGGCACACGGAATCCGTGTAAGCGCGCTTCGGAAATGCTTGGACCTTCCAGGAAATGAGCTCGAAAGACACTGTCGCCTCGCATTTCAGCTGCTCTGCCTCCTGGACGCAGCACTGCTTGAAGAGTTCGATGGCATGGTCCAGGAGCTTAGGTTCATGGCACTCCCACCGCTCCGCACCGCGGGCCGCGGTTTAGGTTCAGGTTCAGGGCCCGCTCCTGCCCCATGGCCGCGCCAGCCTCCGCGACGTCGTCGCGGTCCGCCTCGGAATTGGCGCCCTCCACCGCCGACGGCTCCGACGAGGGTGCACGGGAGGGGCACGGGGTGGGCCGACGCGTGGCGACAGCTGTCCACGTGTGGGCCCCGCGCCTGCACCTCCCACGTTCGCCGTGCCTCGGGATCGTCGTCCTGCACGTCGTCGGCCTCCCGAGGGGCCGCGCCTCCAGCAGGCAGGTCCAGGAGCGCCTCGCCGCCGCCACGGTCCCTGCCGAGGCGCACCGACGCCTGGGCCCACACGCGACATGCAGGCGCCGCCCGCCCGCTCCTTCCCAAAGGCCCCCTGCGCTGTGTGCTGCTGCGCCGAGGCCTGCACGGCCCGCCTCCGGCCGGCAGCCACCTCCCTGCCCGCGGGCTTCGGGCAGACCCTCCGCGCACGGGACGGCAGCCTGCAGCTCGCCTGGCGCCTCCGGCTGGACGAGCAGGGCGTCGGCCGCCACGCCGGGCTGCTCGCCGAGCACCGGCGGCGGCTCCATCCGCAGCGCCGCGGGCCGCACGGAGCTCGACCGCCGAGACCTCGCGGGGCGGCCGCGAAGCGCCCTCGCCGTCCACGGCCTCCACGCCGAGGGCTCCCGGCAGGACGCCGGCCTGGTCGCTCTCAAGCCACACGCCTGGCGCCAGCCCAACCGCTGGCGGCTGAGCGCGCTGCGCCTCCAGCGCGGCAGTGTACTCGGCTCCGCGGCGTCCTCGACGCGATTCTCCGAGTGCACGACGCCCCTGGACCAAGCCTCGTGCCGGGCGCGATCACCAGCCGCCTTGACAGCACGGCGGCGCCAGTCCGCGGGGACTTGCGCCAGCGCAGCCAGCTCTCGTAGGGCGTCGCCGAGCCGATGACGATGGTGCCCCAGTTGATGACGATGGTGCCCCGATGTCGCCGAGCTGATGACGTCCATCCACGCTTCGGTGGAGAACCAAGGCTCGGCCTTGCGACTCCAGCCTCGAGGCCAACTCTGGGCCAAGCTCGACCGCGCAGCAGTCGATAGCCAGGGCGTCCATCGAGGTGTCGACGGCGTGCTTCACAGCCTGCGCCGCCCGTTCTTTCCTCAATCGTTTCGCCAGGTTGCTGGCGCTCTTCCGCGCCCACACTTGTCCACGAGTCCTCTCAGGCACTTGCTCGGGCACCTCCACAGCACCCCGCAGGCCTCCCGCAGCCAAATGGCTACGGAACTCCTCTTCTTCCTCCTCCTCCTCCTCCTCCTCCTCCTCCTCCTCCTCCTCCTCCTTCTCTTCCCTTCCCCCCCTCGAGGGTCGAGCATCGGGGATCGAAGATCGGCGTGGGGGGGGATCAGGGGCGTCTACAGGTCGGTCGGTTCAGTTGCTTCGCACTCGGCTGCATTCGGTCCGTTCGGCTTGGTCTGTTGTTGCGCCGCTGCGTCCTTCTAGTAGGATGCGTTCCATCCCTCGATGTCGGTCGTGGTCGACCTCGCTATGCGATCGGTCGGTTCCGATGTGGGTGTCGCCGTGGACGTCTATGAGGAGCAACATAGGCAGGACGCGTCGGTTGCAAATCATGGGAGCCTGGTATACCCTCTTAATTCTGTCGTTCGTGTCGACTAGCGTCTGGGAGTCGATGAGATGTGCCGATTTAGCGTCGGCCAGCATCGATTCGCGCCGTCTGCGTCGATGAGCGTCGGCTAGCGTCGATTAGCGTCGATTCGCAAGTGCTGACAAGATGGTAAGGAAGGCTCCCATGAGTTGCCGCCGAAGGACGCGGAGGAGCAGCCGGATGACTGGGCGGCAGGGTGGTCTGCTGCCGTTCGCCGCTTGTCACCCGTGCGGAGACGGCCTGCAGAACTCAAGCATCCTCCGCAGCCGCTGCTGCTCGGCGGGGCCGAGGCCACGCGTGAAACGAGCCGCACGCTGCTTCGGCCGTTGGCGGCGCAGCCAGAGGAGCCCTTCCTCGAAAACTTCAAGGGAGGAAAAATCACCCGGACCCGACAATTGGCGTTTATTAAGTGGCCCTGGGCGTTTACTAAGCAGCCCTGCCCTGTTCGATTCCTTCTTTGGGTGCGTTTACTCAACGGCCTCGCTTATCGGGGTGGTGATTATGGGGGTGGATTTTTTGCCCTCTATGAAACGAGCCGCACGCTGCTTCGGCCGTTGGCGGCGCATCCAGAGGAGCCTTTCCTCGGAAACTGGAACGAACGAACGAAGCTGCCGTCGCCGGGAAGGGCCGGCGTCCCTGCAAGGGAGGCAGGTGCGCCTGTAACGCGCTGGCCCTCTGAGAGGACCGGGGACAGGCTGCAACATACGTAGGGCGATTCATTGCCTGTGTGGAGTTGGAGGAGACAAGAGAGGGCAGAGGAGGGGCAGACGGATAACGAGTGTGGAACAAATATGGTGCGCCTCATCACTTCCATGAGAACTGCACGTACGTACGTCACATACGTACCGCACGTTGCTTCGGCCGTTGGCGGCCAAGCCAGAGGAGCCCTTCCTCGGAAACTGGAGCATTGTATATCACCAGTGGTGGGCTGTCTTTCAATCCCAGCACTTCTTGAGGGTCGGGGACGACGTCGGGGTGGCATGGTGTATACTTTTCCCCGTCTGCTTGGGGAAATAACGAAAACATCAGACAACAGGATCCCGTATACACCAGGATCGGGCTTCCTGTGCAAATTCCAGTGCAGGGCCCCGAAAAAGCGTCGGTGTAATATATATATATATAGAGAGAGAGAGAGAGAGAGAGAGAGAGAGAGAGAGAAAAAGTTCCTTCCTTCCCGATTTGAGACACCAGATCAACCAGGAGCGACGGGCACCCGAGGGTGCTGCGGGAGTGTTCGGTCGTCTTCCGAAGGATTTCATCGACCACCCTCTGCAGAAAACACACAGACACAACTAATCGTCGACTCCCAGGAAAATATGGGAAAATATGGGAAGCGGGGGGGAAGACAAAAACCCAGAACATATGGGAAACGATGGAGAATCCTGTTATGTGTGTCTATCTATTTGTGTGTCCCGGGGCCCCTTCAGTTCCAGCCCTTCGGCCAGGCGAGAGTGCGCGGCACGGTATGTTCCACGCCCGGGCCCGCGCCGCGCTCCACTGTTGCCCCTCGCTCGAGCTGTGGTCGGAGGGCTCGTCGCAGAAAGCCCGACGCGGGAAGATGATGCCAGCGACCTTGGTAAGAGGAGGAAGAGGTATCATGAAGCTGCGTCCCCCAAGTGGATTGGTGCAACGATTTTGTGTATCTCCGCAGCAGACAATCTTAGATTTCCAAGGTTGTCGGTTCTTCTTTGTTCAGAAGTTGTTGCGTCGCCGACCCGCTCAGTGGGTACCTCAGGTACCTCAGGTACCAACACCGCTACCCTGCCCCCTTTTTCCCCTTTTTGGGCCTCCTGGGCGGCCCTCGTCGCCACCGCTGGATTCGCTTCGAAATCCTGGCCAGAGCGCACCCCGGGAGAGGTCCGGGGAGCAGCGGTATCGGTCAAGGAAGGAAAAACCACTCGGACCCGACAACTGGCGTTCACTGAACGGCCCTGGGCGTTTACTAAACAGCCCTGCCCTGTTCGATTCCTCCTCTGGGCGCGTTTACTAAACTGCCTCACGTGTCGGGGTGGTTATTCTCGGGGTGGATGTTCTGTGCTCTAGTCGGTACTCTTTGGCTTCCCCACCTTAGGAGGGAGCCCCGCTCCTGGTCCCAGAGCTGGGCCCATCGCCCTGCCTGACGTCCTCGGGCGCGCCCGAACCCCGTCTGGACTCCAGTCATGGCGCGGGCGGGGCGCCCCCGCCAGGCGCGCTGCTCCAAGCATCCCAGCCAAGGGGGGGGGGAGGAGCAGGACGACCAGGAAGGGTGGCGCCGAGGACACCAAGGACAACGACGGCGACGGCGATGGCGGGAGTGACGGCGGCGGCGACGATGGCGGGAGCGACGGCGGCGGTGACGGCGGCGACGATGACGACGGCGACGAGGACAGGGTGGCGGCGACGGCGGCGACGAGAACGGCGGCGGCGACGCCTACGGCGGCGGCGGCGACGAGGACGACGGAGCAGCGTGGGCCCAGAGCGGCGGTAGCCGCGCGCGCGCGGCGGCGGCCCTTGCCCCAGGGCGGCGCGGCCGCGTCTGCCGCCCTGCCGCCGGGCCGTTTCGTCTCCGCCAGCATCTCCCGCGTGCTCGACCTGGAGCGCCAGGCGGGCGCGCCGCTGCGGCCCGGCCCCACCAGCGGTGCGGCCGCAGGGTTTTTCCCAACCATCCTGTGGTGTGTTGGGTCCTCGCTTTGACGAAACAGCGCCCCGCGTCCTCACTCCTCCTCCCTCCTCCCATTCTCCCCCACCCCCTCTCCTCCCCAACTTTTGGCACCCCCCTCATACGTTTCGTGGTACCATAGGGAGCTCCACCGAAGGCCCAGATGCCAGCGCTCGCACGCGCCCACGGTTTGTGGCCCCATTGGGAGCTCCACCGAAGGCCCAGATGCCAGCGCCCGCATGCGCCCACCGCACCAATTTTGGCACCCCTCTCACGTTTTGTGGCCCCATAGGGAGTTCCACTACAGGCCCAGACACCAGCGCTCGCATGCGCCCACCACATCCATTTTGGCATATCCTCACACGTTTTGTGGCCCCAAGGGGAACTCCACCGAAGGCCCAGATGCCAGCGCTCGCATGCGCCCACCGCACCCATGTTGGCACACCCCTCACACGTTTTGTGCCCCCCCCCCCCATAGGGAGCTCCACCGAAGGTCCAGGTGTCAGCGCTCGCACGCGCCCACAGCATCCATGTTGGCACACCCCTCACACGTTTTGTGGCCCCACAGGGAGCTCCACCGAAGGCCCACATGCCAGCGCGCGCATGCGCCCACCGCACGAATTTTGGCACACCCCTCACACGGTTTGTGGCCCCATTGGGAGCTCCACCGAAGGCCCAGATGCCAGCGCTCGCATGCGCCCGCCGCGCCCATTTTGGCACATCCCTCACACGTTTTGTAGCCCCATAAGAGGCTTCACCGAAGGCCCAGATGCTAGCGCTCGCATTCGCCCACCGCACCTATTTTGGCACACCCTTCACACGCTTTGTGGCCCCATAGGGAGCCCATAGGGAGCTCCACCACAGGCCCACATGCCAGCGCTCGCATGCGCCCGCTGCATCCATTTTGGCACACCCCTCACACGGTTTGTGGCCCCACAGGGAGTTCCACCGAAGGTCCAGGTGCCAGCGCCCGCATGCGCCCACCGCACCCATGTTGGCACAGCCCTCACACGTTTTGTGGCCCCAAGGGAGTTACACTGAAGGCACACATGCCAGCGCTCGCATGCGCCCGCCGCGCCCATTTTGGCACACCCCTCACACGTTTGGTGGCCCCATCGGGAGCTCCACCGAAGGCCCAGATGCCAGCGCTCGCATGCGCCCACCGAACCCATGTTG